TTAGATAATTTAATTCTGTGACTAAATGTTAACTGTATTTAAAAAATCCCTTTTAGTATGTTTTTAACCAGTCAGATATTTCTTTCCTAATTATAAAACATTATTCTATTTTTCTGAAGGAAAAGTAACTTCTAATAAAAAAACATGTGTAAGTTATAAGAACTGCAACCAAAAGCAAAAGGCTGGTAATAACTGGCTCACTTTAAGAAAATGATTTTGAGTCTTTTTCATTAATATACGTTGGAGACCCACAGTTATAACTTTAATGCCTGAATTTCAATAGTATCCTAAATATTCTCTGAGCTAGCCTTAGGATGTTTCATAGCTAAGCGTTATTAGTTTGGCTGCCTCACTCTTGGAAAGAAAAAAAAAAAAAAACCATACTTTTGATACTCTAAATGTAGAAAAAATCCATGGCTTTTATTTCATAGATTTACAGTTTCTTGGGATTACAAAACATTTTGCAGGTCCTATCTGTATGTATATTTAAATTTCCTCTAAACATATGAAATCACACTGTCAGAATCTAAGTTAGATGAGAACAGGAACCATGACTATTTCCCTCACATGTGTATGGCCAATGTCCAGCCTCCAAAGTAAAAATGGGATGAAATGCAGACTATTGAATGAATCAATCAAAGACTTTAACACTTCAAGCTACTGACAGCTCATTATGGCTCAAAGCAGCCAGGCCCTTGGTGGGCAGTTCTTGTTGCTCAGAGTTCTTTTTTATAATGACTGGACTGTCATCTCTTCCCATTTGTTTGTTCCAGTTTTAGATCGTCAGGCCATGTAGACTTGTTCTACCACATAACAAATCTTTAAATACCTGAACTGATTTTCATGCCCTACTTTCTCCACCTGACCTCTGATGTTTGCCTCTGCAGACTAACATCCCTAGTTTTTTTTATCAACTGACATAGGTTTGAGTGTCTTGTGATATTCTCAGATGTTCCCTTCTGAGCACATACCATGTTGTTCCCTTGATATGGTACTCAGGATGGTTCAGGGAAATCCTGGCCTGCCTAGAGTTGTGGTCTTAGGCTTTCTAGAGTCTGTCCATGCTCTTTGCTATCAAATTAACTTTTTCATTTTTTTTGGAGGAAACATTGTTTTTCTAGCACTTTAAGGAAAATCATTTTATTCTTAACAAGACCCTGCCTCAGTGGAAGGCAATTGAAGTGGGAGATAATTATTATCTTGGAGGCTGATACAATCTGCAAATGGTTCCATATGTTGTGTCTTGCTTCCAAGTTGACCTATTTGGAGATTCAAGATGATTAACCACCAAGCCTGGTTCTGGGGCAGTTGGGTTTCCCCATGTGTAATAGGTAAGGTGCAACTTTGAAGATTTTGAAATGTAATATTTTAATGCTTCTGCTAAATAAAATTTTACTGTATATTTTTTCAAAGGGCTGAAGTTGCAATTTGGCAGAAAAAATTTATTTATTTTCATGAATGATATTTTCTGAAGATAATTTTTAAAACAAGCTATTAATTTGGAAGATGCAGGTGCATGTACACACAAACGTAAAAATTTTTATGAGAATTCATCTATTAGTGAGATAATATTTTACACTTGGAAAACCTGTGAAATAAAATTGTAAAAGAAAACATTTTTTACAGTGATTTGAATATTTTGAAATTAAAGTTAGTTTATAACCAGGGAGATGGTCATGATGGCAAAGGGGAAAAGGAAGAGGGTGAAAGCAGAAAAGGGAAACAGAGGGAGGGCAGAAAGGAGGAAAAAGGTAGTGCAGGTAGATTGTCTAAGAAATTCCAAGTAGCCACTCAGTCCTTAAACTATTTTCTTGCATGAACTTTGAGTCCTGTCCTGTAATTGTGTATTTTGTAACAAACTCCTCAGAAGTTAAATAATTCCTATGAAACTTATCCTAAGATAAGCTTCAACTTTCTTTTTCTTTTCTTTTCTTTTTTTTTAAATTTTACTTTAAGTTCTGGGGTACATGTGCTGATCTTGCAGGATTGTTACATAGTTATACACATGACATGGTGGTTTGCTGCCTCCATCCCCCCAATCACCTACATTAGGTATTTCTCCTAATGTTATCCCTCCTCTGTCTCCCCACCCCCTGTTATCCCTCCCCTAGACCCCGAACCCCCAACAGCCCAGTGTGTGATGTTCTCCACCCTATGTCCATGTGTTCTCATTGTTCAACACACACTTATGAGTGAGAACATGTGGTGTTTGGTTTTCTGTTCTTGTGTCAGTTTGCTGAGAATGATGGTTTCCAGATTTATCCATGTCCCTGCAAAGGACATGAACTCATCCTTTTTTATGGCTGCGTAGCATTCCATGGTGTATATGTGCCACATTTTCTTTATCCAGTCTATCATTGATGGGCATTTGGGTTGGTTCCAAGTCTTTGCTATTGTAAACAGTGACGCAATGAACATACGTGGGCATGTGTCTTTATAATCCTTTGGATATATTCCCAGTAATAGGATTGCTGGGTCAAATGGTATTTCTATTTCTAGGTCCTTGAGGAATCACCACACTGTCTTCCATTACAGTTGAACTAATTTACATTCTCACCAACAGTGAAAAAGCATTCCTATTTCTTCACATCTTCTCCAGCATCTATTGTCGCCAGATTTTTTAATGATCACCATTTTAACTGGTGTGAGATGGTATCTCAGTGTGGCTTTGATTTGCATTTCTCTAATGACCAGTGATGATGAGCATTTTTTAATATGTTTGTTGGCCACATAAATGTCTTCTTTAGAAAACTGTCTGTTCGTATCTTCTGCCCACTTTTTGATGGGGTAGTTTGTTTTTTCTTGTATATTTGCTTTAGTTCTTTGTAGATTCTGGATATTAGCCCTTTGTCAGGTGGGTAGATTGCAAAATTTTTTTCCCATTCTGTTGGTTGCTGGTTCACTCTAATGATTGTTTCTTTGGCTGTGCAGAAGCTCTTAAGTTTAATTAGATCCCATTTGTCTATTTTGGCTTCTGTTGCCTTTGCTTTTGGTATTTTTTAGTCATGAAGTCCTTGCCTATGCCTATGTGCTGAATGGTATTGCCTAGATTTTCTTCTAGGGTTTTTATGGTGTTAGGTCTTATTTTAAATCTTTAATCCATCTGAAGTTAATTTTTGTATAAGGTGTCAGGAAGGGGTCCAGTTTCAGCTTTCTGCACATGGCTAGACAGTTTTCCCACCACCATTTATTAAACAGGAAATCCTTTCCCCATTGCTTCTTTTTGTTTGGTGTGTCAAAGATCAGATGGTTGTAGATGTGTGGTGTTACTTCCGAGCCCTGTGTTCTGTTCCATTCTATTGGTATATATCTCTGTTTTGGTAGGAGTACCATGCTGTTTTGATTACTGTAGCCTTGTAGTATAGTTTGAAGTCAGGTATTTTTCAAATAGATTCTAATTCAGGGGTCCTCAACCTCCAGGTCACAGACTGGTATCTGTCTGTGGCCTGTTAGGAACCTGGCTACACAGCAGGAGGTGAGTGGCAGGTGAGCGCACATTACTGCCTGAGCTTGGCTTCCTGTCAGATCCGTGGTGGCTTTAGATTCTGATAGAAGCACCAACCCTATTGTGAACTACACATGCGAGAGATCTAGGGTGAGTACTCCTTATGAGAATCTAACTAATGCTTGATGATCTAAGGTGGAACTGTTTTATCCTGAAACCATTTCTCATCCCGTATCCCCCACCCCCACCTCACCCTCCCATGAAAGAAAAATAATTTTTCTTTTCTGTAAGAAAAATAGTCTTTCACAAAACCAATCCCTGGTGCTAAAAAGGTTGGGGACCACTTACCTAGACTATGCAAATAATATTATTTATGTTGAACTCCTGCTTTCCTTCTGGGAGTTCAAATTTGAGGTATGTATTGGTTAGAGATTGCCTATATGACCAGCCTCCAATAAAAATCTTGGGTTCTGAGTCACTAGTGGGCATCTCTGGATGGAAATATTGTTCACATGTTGCCACATTTTTGTTGTTGGTGCAAAACAAAATGTGCTGTCTGTGCCCCATCATGGGAGGGAAAGAACCAAAAGAAGCCTGTACATGGATTCCTGCAGCCTCCACCTTTTCCCCTGTGATCCACCTTACTATGTCACTGATAGAAATCTTAGCCATGAGTCCAGTGATGCTGAGTTCTACGAGTTCTTCTTGTGAATCTCTGAGTGTGGGGTAGTCTTGGAGAACACAACCCCCTCTTTTTTGCAGCACTCATCCTGATATATCACTTTTTGTAGCATTACACAATTTTAGTGAGAAGGGAAATGTTTTTGAAAAGTTAAAGTTGAATGAAATACTGACCCAGAAGATATAGTTTAGCAAAGCCATGTCAATCTTTTTGAAAATTGTCAAGCCAATTTAGTCATGGAAAAATTATTTACTTACTCTGTACTTACAGAATATGAACTGCCAAGAAAGAAATGGCTTTTAGGGATCTTTCTTACCTTTAAAAAAAATAACAGCTTTACTGACATATAATTCACTATACTACAAAATTCACCCTTTTGAAGGGTAAACTTCAGGTGATTTTAGTATCACAAACAGAACTGTGCAACTTTCCCCACCAATTCTAGAACATTTTCATCACCCTCCCTCAAAAACCCTGTACCCATTAGTCATCAATCCCTATCATTCCTTCCTTGCAGCCCCTGGGAACTACTAATGACCTGTCATCTGTGTAGATTTGCCTATTCTTCATGTAAATGGAATCATGTGGCCTTTTATGATTAGCTTCTTTCATTTGTATTGTGGTGTATAATGGTACTTCATTCCTTTTTATTGCCAAATAATATCCCATGCTATGGATATACCACATTTTATTTTATCTATTCATTAGTACATGACATTTGAGTTGTTTTCACTTTTTGGCTATTATGAATAATACTGCTATGAATATGCATGTACAAGTGTTATTGTTATTTGGACAGGTTTTATTTACAATTTGTTGAGCTATACTGACAAATAACCATGTACAAGTTTTTTTTTTTTTTTTTTTTTTGAGTCTCCCTCTCTTGCCCAGGCTGGAGTGCAGTGGTGCCATCTTCCTGGATTCAAGTGATTCTCCTGCCTCAGTCTCCCAGTTTCCTGGGACTACAGGTGTGTGCCATTATGCCTGGATAATCTTTGTATTTTTAGTAGAAATGGGGTTTCACCATATTGGCCAGGCTGGTCTCAAACTCCTGCCTCAACTGATTCATTTTTTTTGTCAGTCATGCTTTTGGTGCCACATCTAACTCCCATACCAGATTTTAATCGTCCCGCTAATGTTAGGAGGTCTACATCTATAAGCCCAATCTACTATTATATGATGGAAGGAAATTAAAGGTGGGAGGAGTTGGAGTATAGTAAAGTGGATAGAGTGGGATTTAGAGTTTTCACATAGAGTCCAGCTCTTTTATTATGGGAACGAGGCACGATATTTTAAAGCCTCAGTTTCTTACATGGAAAATGGGGTAACTATAGTTCCTGTTTCATAAGGTTCTTGTGAAGTTTAAATTAGCAGTGAAAAGGATTTAGGAGGAGACATCTGACACACAGAAGACATCTAATAAATGTTAGGATTTTATCAAGAGATTATGAAACTGCGGCTGGACCTACTCAAGAATTGCCTAGCAGAGTTAAAGTTATCACTCTTCTAACTGCATTTATGAAAGGCTGCTGGAATTATTTATGGTTATGACTTTCTGGCACCATAAAGAAACCTGATAGATATACAGCAGAATGATTTTATTTCTTCTGGTTTCATCAATAAACAATGATATTCCTCTTTGGGGTCTAAAGAAGAGTCCTAGATCAAAAAAACTGTAGTGTCAGCCTAACTGAACATTTCCTCACAATGTGTGCTTGTTATTTATCATTAATTAATGGCCATTTATATAACTACAAAAAAAAGTGAGAAACGAAACTTCTCTCCTGTCAGTTGGATGTTAGACCTTAGAAAAGGTGGCTTGATATTTCAGTTAAATATTTACCATGCTTTATAGCATGACCTCAGAACTTTCAAATACATGTCTCAGTCATTTGGTGTTTATGGGTGCAGAAGCAGGTTAGGGTCACAATAAACACATTCTGTTTTATTATTATAAACCTAGATATCAGTGAAAGTTCAAAGTCAAGTCATCTCAGTTCAGCCTATTCCTGTGTGGCATGTAGACTAATAAATGAGGAGGAACCTTCCAGTACACATAGGACTATTTATATGTAATATAAAGACATCTTCAGTAATTTTTATTTAAACAATTCAACTTAGAATTTTATTACTGTATTCACCATCAAAAGTAAAACCCTTGGTCAGCAATTGGCATAGCTATATTTTCCACTGTGGATAATTTAACAATTGTGTGTGTGTGTGTATGTGTGTGTGTTTGTGTGTGTGTGTGCCTGCACTCCCAGGCTGGAGTGCAATGGCACAATCTCATCTCACTGCAACCTCTGCCTGTAGGGTTTAAGCAATTTTCTTGCCTCAGCTTCCCGAGTAGCTTGGACTACAGATATGCACCACCATGTCCAGTTAATTTTTGTATTTTTAGTAGAAATGGTGTTTTGCTATGTTGGCCAGACTGGTCTTGAACTCTTAACCTCAGGTGATCCACCTGCGTTGGGCTCCCAAAGTCCTGGGATTACAGGTGTGAGCCACTGAGCCTGGCACAATTTAACAAATATTAAAATATCTTTTGAAAAACACATTTGTGTTTTTTTGTAGAGCTGGGATTTCATCATGTTGGTCAGGCTGGTCTCGAACTCCTGGGCTCCAGTGATTCACCTACTTTTGCCTCCTAAAATGCTGAGATTATAGGCGTGAGCCATTGCTCCTGGCCTGAAAATCGCATCTTTAAATTAACAGGAGCAACTGGGATTCAGTTTCGTAGGGCCTAAAGCTGATATAGTATCAGGGTTTTTTTTTTTTTTTTTAAATAAAAAAGACACAAAATTAGGTGCAAACGGTGAATATTGAATTAGAAGTTCATTCAAGTGACAAACTGAAGTTTCAGCTCCATTAGTTTCATGGTAAATATACCACTTCAGATAGTAACTACATAATTTTTTAAAACATATCAAAAGAATGACATAGTACCTGAAGACAATTCTTCATTTTTTTTTCCCCAGAAGAAGCGTATAAATTTATGTGTATATATAATCCCAGTTGATTTTTTTCTCTTTTTTTTTCTGTTTCTTCATTGTGTGGCAAAATTCTGTTTACAATTTGCTCTCCATTTGTGAGGTGAGGAAAAAGAGAGACTTAGGGATTTGCTACAGGAAATAGAAGCCTGCCAGGGCCAGGTGTGGACCCTTTCTTCTTATACTCTCAGCATATGAATTTGGAGAAATTATATACACATATATATAAAATTATATATAAATATATGTATTTTCTTGTTTTAGAAGCAAGAGAAAAATAATATTTTGAGCATACAGATGGAGTACTCTCTTCTCTTAGTGTCTTTATTCTTATATTTCCAGGAGAGAAACTAAGCCCAGAGACATTTAAAACCAAGCCAAGGCCGGGAGCCATGGCTCACGCCTGTAATCTCAGTACCTTGGGAGGCCGAGGCGGGCAGATTACGAGGTCAGGAAATTGAGACCATCTTGGCCAACATGGTGAAACCCTGTTTCTACTAAAAAGTACAAACATTAGCTGGGCGTGGTGGTGGGTGCCTGTGGGTCCCAGCTACTCAGGAGGCTGAGGCAGGAGAATTGCTTGAACCTGGGAGGCAGAGGTTGCAGTGAGCCGAGATCATGCCAGGGCACTCCAGCCTGGCGCCTGGTGACAGAGGAAGACTGTCTCAAAACAAAAACTAAAACAAAAACAAACAAAAAACCAGCCAAAGCATAGTTCTCAAATTCCTGAGTACAAACATTTGTTTAGCCTGGTAAACCAGTAGCAATGTTGGAAAAAAGTTTTATTTTGACTTGAGACAGAACTTTTAGTTTTTTTAAAAAGGAGATAATCCATTTTTTTTTTCAGAAGAGTTATAATTTTGAAAAACCCACATAGCTCAGAATTTGTGGTTTTTCTTTTCCTTCCTATTTTCTTTATTATTATTTATTTTCATGTTTACTTAAGGTCAACAAAATATGAACTTTGCTCATATGGGAGACTGAAATAGCTTGACAGTTGTTTGATTCTTCAGGTTTGGCTCTTAAAGTTCTTATGGTTTTTACTTGTATTCAAATACATAAAAGTAAATACTTTTTTAAAGCTTCATGTAGCTTTTCCTCCCGGTTTGTTTGACTCTCACTAGGTTATAAAAGAATGTGTGGTGATAATAAAACACATAGGAAAAACAAAACTTAAAATTTGACATGGGGTTGTGTGGATAACTTCCAACTGTGTTTCTGCAGTAACGACTCACCTATATTGTAGCTATAATGACAAAAATTCTTCGGTGCCTCCAACTTGCCAGCGACCATAATTACCCATACCTAATCCTCAGAATAGTCCAACAAGCTAGATGCTATTAGCCCCATCTGACAAATGAGAAAACTGGAATTTAGGAAGATTAGTTAATGGGGTAAGGTGGCACAGTAAGTGGCAGAGTTGTGATTCAAATACAGATTCAAGTAACGCTAAGGCTAATACGCTTTCACCAAATACTGCCTCTCAGATGAGAAATATTCAGAGTTTTTGTGGTGGCCAGCATCCAAGATGGTCCTCAGTGATCGCCCTTCTTGGTATTCTCAGCCTTTTTTTCCCCCAAAAGATGACAAATATGTCACTACTAACTCAGCATCTACGTCGACTCAATACAAACAATCTCTGAAAGGAAAACAAGTAGGATGATATTAATCCTGGAGAGTTTTATTTTGTTTGTAATTTGGGATAAGTAAGCTTTGGAGTTTCATGTTTACTTTTTGAAGAAAGTGTGTCTGGGCTTTACCTTGTTTCCTCCAACCCTCTCTCTCCCTCTCTCTGCTCCAGAGGCCCAGAGTGTTTTTTTAGCAACATGAAATGCGTTTTCTCTTCCACAGAGAATAGCAAATGCTATTTCCTCAACATGGGATTCTACCTCTCCCTCTTCCTCTCTTCCAGTCTCATCTTCTGTTTCACTTCCTCAGGGACTGCTGCTTTCTAACTTCATGGACTGGGTTATGACTTCATGGACTGGTTGCCCCTCCATTGCTCCTCTGCCTTCTACTCTGCCCTCCCGGTATACAAGACACTCTGAATACTCTTTAATGCCTGTCTTCCTCTGACTACAAGCAACATAAGAACCCACCACACCGATTTTATTCACCAATGAATCTCGAGTGCCTCATTACACAGTAAATATTTTTTGACTAACATTTGAGGAAAATGTTATTTCTGGCACAGAGAAAATAAGAGCAGAGACATGAAGATATGAAAGTGTGTGGCATATGTGAGGGACTATTAAATTAAAAATGGATGTTTTCTTTAAGTAGAGGCTTATCTCTTTCATATGTAACTTAATTTAACTTTACAGTAATTAATTTTTAAACTTAAATGACTTCAACATGAAATTAAGCTAAGAATAATTTACATTTATGGAGGTAAAAATTTCAGCCTATATTGCTTATGGTATCCTTTTATGTTGTGTAATTTTCCCCTCTCTTTTTCCAGTTGCAAGGTTAAAATATTTGGGATTGCTGAGAGTGAAATCTCAATTCAGATCTATTAATAAATCTCTGTGGAGTAGTGGAAAAGTTCTGGACTATGAATCAGAAGGTCTGTGGTGTCATTTGATTTGCCACTAGCTGTTCTCCCTACATTGAGCATATTAGTGACTTGCGTGCCCTGAATGTTCTGCTGAGCTCCAGCCCTCCTGGAGTGAAGTCAGTAGCACTCCCAGCAAGCGTCAGCCTTGCTTGTCAACTCAGGGGAGGTCTTCATTCATCCATAACCTGAAATTTATTTATCCCTCTAACATTTATTGTTGTCTACTTTGTGCCAAGAACTGTGCTCAGTGATCAGTTAGAAACAAAAGGCAGGACTGTAAGGAAGAAAGACAAATATAACAAGTATAACTTAATGTGCAATGAATACTATACTGAAGGCAAATAAAAGGCAAAATGTGAGCACAGAGAAAGGGAGATAGGTGGCTTTCTAAAGGCAGTGATACCTGGCCCAGTTTTGAAGAACAGCTCAGAATTTACCCTGCCAGAGTATTGTGGGCAAAGAAAAAGGGGCAAAGTTCCTGAACCAGCATATGTGCAGGGAGTGTGGGCTTCCTGGGCACAGGGAAGGAAAACAGATATTACTGGGGAAGCTGATCAGGGTCACAGTTCATTCTCCTTAAGAGGTCAAAGGACAACTCTGTGAGATCACTGAAGACACCTGTTCTACTTCCCAATTCCTGCTTCCAGATTTCTTTTCCCTGCACATAGGCGCATGCTTCTAGTGATACTTGTTCATGGAATATTACCCTACCCTCATGGGGCTCTTTGAAGGAATAAACAGAAACTCCTTTTCTCTGGGATCATACTGGCAGCGGTTGCTAGTTTTTTACATTTTGTTGCACTAAGCACTTGAAATATGCAGTTTATTTCTATATCTAAGTATTGCAATATGAGGATGAGTAAGAAACATGTTGTGCAAAATGGTAGTTTGAAGAGTTAGGCTCAAAATTTAATTTTCAAAGTGCATGTACATTGTCTGCCTTCTATAGTATCCTGGATCTGTGTCAGTCACCAACAGGGATTTCAGCCCGTGGAAGCAGGATCTGAGCCTCATTTACTCAAGAAGAGTCTGTTCTTCTTGAAGAATATATTTCAAGATCTATTGAAGAGTAGATTCAATATTCTGCTTGAGTAAAGTAGAGTTTTTTCTATGTGCTCGTTGCCAGGGCTAGAGAGGAAAGAATGTATTGCTAGCCTCTAGGGGCTCTAGGTGTTGAGTAAATATACCATTATTTCTCTGTGGATCTCCCTCATTGTCCTATAACAGTCACAACTAGCATTAGAACATTTAAGCCCACAGAATAGTAAGAGTCAGTGTAGAATTCGGAATCTCATGTAGTTCTCCCTAATCTCTTTCAAATAGTATAGTGTCTACTTCTGAAATCTTTGTACACTTTGGGGCTCTAAAAATCACCCTGGGTGAGATAAAGAAACTGAATTAAATGACCCTTGAAAGTGGGTTTGATTTTTGAAAATAGCCCAAATAATTGGAAGCCGAGCCAAGTGAATAAATCAGTCTATGAACTTGGATAATGCCATTTTGGTCATGTATCTGGCTGTACACTTATCACCTTGACTAATTTTGTTGGCATAGTTTTGCCATACAGCAATGACAGAAAGCTCTTTTTTTTTTCTCCTGTTACCTGCTTACTTCATCTAAGCAATGCAGAGAATAACTGTAATCCATCTACCACAGTGAAAGGCCAGCAAGGTTTATAAAGTAATGCCTATAAAAAGTTCCCATGAGTAAGCTGAGAGTCCACCGTGCAAATAGAAGAGATGATTGTTGTTACTGCTGGGCTACATATATAAGCACTCACTCATCACTATGTGCTTCTTGGCAGGGCTTCCCAATTTGCCCCATGTAGCTCCATGCTAGGTCTTCTACATAATTACTTCAATTCAATTACATTTGCCTGGATTGGTTTTTATGAAACATGAAGCTTAAATAAATAATAAACATTTCTAGAGGTGAAAGCATATAAATGGACCTGATAGATTTTTTTTATCTGTTCAAAAATCAAAAGCTTTTAATGAAAGTAAGGACTTTATGCTGAATTCATCCACTATAAATTTCCATGAAATTTAAAACTTAATTTAAAAAGTAAGTCACAGAGTTTACTTCACTACCCTGCTACCTCCACTGGAGCAGGTACTGGTATCCATGACTGAGAGACCTGAAGACGGATTACAACACAAGACACTTTGCAGGCACTTCTCAGTATCAGCCCAGGGCCTGCTAGCTCTGCTGAGTGGCTAGGCCGGAAGAGGAATAATAACCACTGCAGTTTGGCTCTCAGGAAGCCCCATCCCTAGGGGAATGAGGAGAGCACCACATCAAGGAATCACCCCATGGGACAAAAGAATCTGAACAGCAGCCCTTGAGCCCCATATCTTCCCTCTGACATTGTTTTCCCAATTGAGAAGGAACCAGAGAAACAATTCTGGTAATATGACAAAATGAGTTTTTTTTAACACCTCGAAAAGATCACGTTAGTTCATGAGCAATGGATTCAAATCGGGCAGAAATCTCCGAATTGCCAGAAAAAGAATTCAGAAGGTCGATCATTAAGCTAATCAAGGAGCCTCCAGAGAAAGGTAAATACTAACTTAAAGAAATGCTTAACGTGTTACAGGATATGGCCTGAAAAATCTCCAGAGAAACAGCATAAATAAAAAACAATCGCCGGGCGCGGTGGCTCATGCCTGTAATCCCAGCACTTTGGGAGGCCGAGGCGGGTGGATCACGAGGTCAAGAATTCGAGACCATCCTGGTCAACATGGTGAAACCCCGTCTGTACTAAAAATACAAAAGATTGGCTGGGCATGGTGGCGCATGCCTGTAGTCCCAGCTACTCGGGAGGCTGAGGCAGGAGAATTGCCTGAACCCAGGAGGCGGAGGTTGCGGTGAGCCGAGATCGCGCCATTGCACTCCAGCCTGGGTAACAAGAGCGAAACCCCGTCTCAAAATCAATAAACAAATAAAAAACAAAAAAATAAAAAACAATCACAACTTCTGGAAATGAAGGACACACTTAAGAAATATACTGCAAAATAGACTACAAAGTCTCAACAATACAATCAAACAAGTAGAAGAAAGAACTTCAGAGCTTGAAGACAGGTTTCTTAATTAACCCAATCCAACAAAGACAAAGAATTCAAAAAATGAACAAAGCCTCCAAGAAGTTTGGGATTACGTTAAACCACCAAACCTAAAAATAATTGGGTTCCTGAGACAGAAGCGAAATCTAAAAGTTTGGAAAACATATTTGACTGAGGAAAACTTCCCTGGCCTTGCTAGAGGTCTAGACATCCAAATACAGGAAGCTGAAAGAACACGTGGGAAATTCATAAAGATCATTGACTAGGCACATAGTCATCAGGTTATCTAAAGTCAAGATGAAGGAAACAATCTTAAGAGCTGTGAGTCAAACGCATCAGGTAACCGATAAAGGAAAACCTTTCAGATTAACAGCAGATTTCTCAGCATAAACCCTAAAGCTAGAGGGGAGTCCTATCTTTAGCCTCCTTAAGACAATTATTATTATGAGCCAAGAATTTTGTACCCAGTGGAATTAAGCTTCATAAATGAAGGAAAGATAAAGTCTTTTTCAGACAAACAAATGCAGAATTTACCAGTACCAAGCTAACACTACAAGAACTGCTAAAGGAACTCTAAATCTTGAAACAAATCCTCAAAGTACACCAAAATAGAACTGCCTTAAAGCATAAATCTCACAGGACCTATACAACAATAACACAATACACAATGAAAAAACCCCAAGGTATTCCGGCAACAAATAGCACAATGACTAGAATAGTACTTCACATCGCAATACTAATGTTGAATGTAAATGGCCTAAATGCTCCAGTTAGAAGATACAGAATGGCAGAATGGATAAGATGTCACCAATCAAGTCTCTTCTGTCTTTCAGAGACTCACCTAAAGCATAAGAACTCACATAAACCCAAGGTAAAGGAGTGGGGAAAGATATTCCATACAAATGAACACCAAAAGTGGGCAGGAGTAGCTATTTTTGTATCAGACAAAACAAACTTGAAAGCAACAGCAGTTAAAATAGACAAAAGGAGACGTTATATAATGATACAAGGACTAGTTGAACAGAAAAATATCACCCTAATACCAAACCTAGAAAGGACATAACAAAAAAAGAAAACTACAGACCAATTTTCCTGATGAACATAGATGCAAAAATCCTCAACGAAATACTAGCTGACTGAATCCAACAGTATATCAAAAAGATAATTCACCATGATCAAATGGGTTTCATACCAGGGATGCAGGGGTGATTTAACATCCACAAGTCAATAAATGTGATTCACCACACAAACATTATTAAAAACAAAAATCATATGATCATCTCAATAGATGCAGCAAAAGCATTGGTCAAAATACAGTATCTCTTTATGATTAAAACCCTCAGCCAAACTGGCATGCAAGGGACATAGTTTAAGGTAATAAAAGCCATCTATGACAAACCAATAGCCAACATTATACTCAACAGGGAAAAGGTGAAAGCATTCCCCCTGAGAACTGGAACAAGACAAGGATGCCCACTCTCACCACTTCTATTCAACAAAGTACTGAAAGTCCTAGCCAGAGCAATCAGAAAATAGAAAGAAATAAAGAGCATCCAAATTGGTAAAGAGGAAGTCAAACTGTCACTCTTTGCCTGTGATATGATTGTATACCTAGAAAACCCTAAAGACTCATCCAAAAAGCTCCTAGCACAGATCAATGAATTCAGCAAAGTTTCCAGATACAAAATTAATGTACACAAATCAGTAGCTTTGCTATACACCAACAGTGACCAAGCTGAGAATCAATAGCCGCAAAAACAAAACAAAACAACCCCTCCCAACACACACAGCACTACCCAGGAGTGGGTAAATACAGTGCTCTTATGAATTAACTGTCTGATATACTCTATGATATTTTCTTATAATTTTTAGCTTATACTCATTGATCTCTTCATGTGGCAACAGCTTCATAATATTTTCAGTAAAGAGAAAAGAAGGTGGTTTAGTTTTTTTCTCTTGAAAAAAACGTACCTTTTTATTGATAGGTTAAAGATTTCTGGCCGGGCAT